ATGATATTCTCCCTTAATGTATATAGATCACGAAAATTTGCTTTTGTTATAATTTTCGAAGAGAATAGTTTAAGACTTAAATTATGAATTGTTGTACATGTAACAACGAGAAAATTTGTAAGCTGTAACAGTTTTAAAACTTCTAATTTTAAATAAGTGAAATATTATACATGTATAGAAACATGAATAGAAGTATAATGGTATCGGTATTATACAATTCCTTTATTTAGGCGGTAACGCCAACAATCCATAATTTTTAAATATTAACAACGTATCAAAATAAATACAGACAAGATACTAGGTTGTTCATTTAGGAGTATTTCATTATTTTTGGCGAAGATCGACATATTGATAATGAAAAACTATCTAAATAACCCAAATTATTTATTCTACCTGTGGTTTCCGTAGTATAATTTCCACTTTTCGGTTCTATAGTTAATGTTCGGTATTAGCACTTCTATATCTTTTTCTCCATCCAACTCTTGTCTTGTTTTCACCAATTCAGCACTCAGCTTTTCGTATTGTCTGTTTTGCTATATATTGTTATTGAACATAGTATTACAACCATTTTTATATGTGAATGTTCATTTTGTCGTCGATAGGTGGGCAAACTTCTTGTTGATATATTTATTATTAATTTGCAAAATGCATTTTTTCTAGTGCAACATTTATAGCCATGCATCACAGCGAATCTTCAAGGTTTATTAATTGAATAATCTTGCAAGGTATTTTTAACTATAATTTATATTTGCTTTTTTACCCACATATTTTTTTATTAGCTGCCTTATGATAACTATTTTTTATTTACGTAAGTATATACTAAAGTCTTACATCGATATGACACTTTCTAAATTACAGTAAACGCAAATATGCAAATTTTCTCCTCGAATTACCCGATTCATCCAACCCGCGAAATGAGCAGAAGCTCGGTATTCATTCAATGGCGTATCTGCGCGATATTAGTTGTATCTGCTCGATATTAGTTGTTACTTTAAACAGACTTGCGACAAAACCTGAGTAACGGAACTTTCATCATAATCCACGTTTGCTGTATATTAAGCATATATCTGGACTTCTGTCTATAAATTTTATTATTTTCTTTCGATTTTTTTATTTCATTTATTTTTAAACTTTCATTTCTAAGCTTTCCAGTACTCTTTTTTTATTATCCTTTCTTTTCCTTCTCTCAACATAATTCTGTCTTTTCGGGTACTGTTCAAACATAACGTGATTTGATATATTTAATGTTTCACATGTTAGTCAACTTTCAATCGGTATGGTTAGCTATAAATATTTCAAAATAGATATTTGATATTTTGTTAGATGTGTGCAATTTATCTATTCCAGAAACATATCTAAACGTTTATATTCAGTCCAATACTATGACATGTTTCGCCTTATTGAGGCACATCACATACTGGTTGGTAGAAGACAATCTCGGAAACAGAAAGTCAGGCATTCTCGCCCAAATTTTCCACCATGAAATGAAAATTTTAAATAATCTTGGGAAATACATTTTATTCCAGGTATGTTTGGTATTCTTTGCATATATCTTATATCAATAAGTGCACTGTTTTATATAAATACACGCTCATTTCCGTTTTATTGGAACACCATACGATTTTCTACTATAACATTTTTGCATTTTTGGGTAAATAAACCTAAGATCTTCCAAATAATTTTAACATTATGAACAAAAAGTAAGAGATATAGCAATATTATTATGACAGATATTGTCTTCATTTATGATACATGTAGGAAGTATTATCTTTATTTATTATTTGTTACATAGTTTTGGGTCATTTTAAGAATAGTTTATGAGCTATATACAATCTTCACCTGACTTTTCTGAATGAAATTTCTAGAACAAACTGTACATTGTCAAAATCAGATCAGTTTAATCCGTCGGATTATAATAAAACGATAAAACATTAAAATTAACAAAAATATGACTAAGTTTACTATAGGTTTATAGAAACTAATGTGATTTGGTACTTATGAATAGAAGGTTAACATAACAAAAAAAAAAACAACATAAATGTACAAAAACAAAATTCTCTACAGCCTATGATAAATAACTAAAAAACAAAATTTACGCAAAACATCCTCCAACTAAAAATTACAGAAAATGTTACATTAATTGCGAGTAAAATAAACAAAACAAAATAAAAATTAAGCAAAATAACAACATTCGTGCGCCCACTTTTGTTAACATTTTCAACAATTTTTAACGTGAAAGACTGTAATGAGAAAAATTTTAAAACAAATGGTTTATCTCTATGTTTATTGCTCATCATTGGTTTTAACATGGCCAGGAAAATGTTATACACACTGTAGATTATTTTTTATAGGAACAATTGTACGACAAAGAAAGATCGTTACTTATATCATATCGGACGATTTTTAGCATTGTCTCTAGGCCACCTCCATACGGTACCAATTATCCTTCTGAACTAGTATTGCATCAATCGCGATTGATTCGTTCGTTTTGATTCAATCACTAAGTATTGAACGACCGAATCTATCTAGCTCATAATGATCTGATCATGTAGTGACAAAAATCGATTGATCGACCGCCGACGGCACCGATCGAACCAAAACCAAATCCCACACCCACAGCCAATGCCCTCATTATTTTCGGTCCTCGGTCGATCCTCACTTGCGACGAAGATCGATCAGCTGAATGCGTTCGTTTGATTGATTGAAACATTAAAATATTAAATATTGAATTAAGAATTGCGTTTTACAGACCGGGAGTATTTGAATTAGAAAATATTCTATCGGGACCCAGCGATTGCTTTCGCTTGTGTTGTTAATAGTTAGTACGTAGTTAAAATCATAAAATATCTATTTGCACGCCTTTTAAACAAAGCTAGAGCAAGACCAAACGTTTAAAAACACAATAAATTCTAGCTTCTAGAATAATTTCTAAAGAATATGTACGAACTTAAATGTTAAAAAGTATATATTTAGGTGATAAAAATAAAGGTGATATTCCAATAATTTAGGCAAAAGGACACATATGAAATACCGTAAGCAATGCTCTCGGTTTTCAGTCGGTTCAGTTCAATCAATTGGTTACTCGTTATTTCTTTTAAACGGCAATGAAAAGTATTGAATTGAACGAACGATTGAAATGATTGGATCGTATTCGGAGTCGGTCACTGATTGATTCGGTCCTCGTAAAATGAACGATTGACATAACATTGCTGAACATTCTTGATGAACGTGCGTTTAATTTGGGGTCAGTATTGTCTATGTTTTTAATTTCCAGGGAAACGATTAGCTGTGATTATTTTGTTTATTAGCCATCTCATGATTTTGAGTTTTAGCTTAAGTTGACAGCTATTAGCTTTTATATGAGTTGAATTGAAAGAAAACGGTAATGGAAACGAACGAAAAGGAATGACAAATCTGATCCTCACATGGAATTCCGTGAAATATTGTATTAGTATGTGCGTAATGGATTACTAAAAGTAGAATCAAATAATCTGATGGACGTCGGCATATTCGACGACCTTCCTCGAAATAACGTAGTTGCTAGAGATTTCTTTAGTTTTTTTTTTATTTCTGTATGTCATCAACACAAAATTGCGTGATAATTTCGTACAGGAAATAGCCAGAACATGTATTGCTGTAGCTGCTGTTTATGCTAATTCTTAGAGTTTACAAAGGTTACAAGAAAGATTAGACCGATTTTCGGAAAGGTGGCGAGTCAAATAAAATTGGAATTTTGATGTCAAAAATTCAAAGAAATTGAGATTCTAGAAAGGGAATAGAGAGGTAAATATGAAATTAGTTGAAAGAGGTGGATGAGAAACGGACAATTATTTCAGAGTTTTTGAAGATAGAGGTTTGCCTATTATTAGTAAATAAAGCGATTTGAAGGTTTTTTCATCTTGAGACACATCGACGTATTATATTACATATTTCTTTATATAAAGCAAATCATAACTATATAACCTATAAACCACTGTATAACTAATATTACGTCAACCTATTATGGTTTTATGTGGTATAAATCAATAAAAAATAGTTTAAATGTACTTTCATTTTTTGGTAAAAAAAAGAAGCAGGAAGTTAGAAACAAAAAAAAAAGAAAATAAAGTAGAAGTTAAATCTGGTAAGGCGACGAAGAGGACTTCGCCTAGCATGCGAGGCTCTGACGGGAGTCCTTACTTCTCAAGAATGGACCACGAAAAAAAAGACCGCGATGGAACTCGGAGAGCGAAGGACGAAAAAGGTCCAACGAGCGAGCATGGGCAACGCAGTGAGAAAAAAGTTTAAGCACCTAAAAATGAACTAAGGTCTTAACCCAAAAAAGGATCGATGTAGCCGTTAAATACTATCCGAAACGTTCAAATATAGGTGTAGTGTGTAGCGTGTTCCACATTTCAAATAATGTGGAAACGCCTATGCAGCCCAACGACCTCTTTATCTACAAACGATGAAAAATGTTCAGGTAAAAACCATTTACATTAAGAACAAAAAACTTTACTTCAAAAAAGTAAAATTCACTTATGTAATACGTTATTGTGAAGGTGGGAAGGAGGTTCTTTCCACAGAAGTAGAAGATCAAAATCCGCCACCTCCAGAAGAAGAAACAATACACAATTAGAATCTACTTAAATTCAAGAAGTACGGGATACAATAAAATATCTAAAAATATTAAATCTACAGGAAGTTACAGTATACCTGCAGAACTTAAAGGTACAATAAAATGGCCCCCTCGGTCACCCGACTTAGCTCCTCTAGATTTTTATTTTTAGGGGATGCTAAAGACCAATTTGTATGGACATGAATTTGAGCCATCCATCAACATGGAGAAACTGGGACAAAAGATAATCGAATTTACCAAAAAATATCAGCAAATAAACTCAACGCCACGAGAAAAGCGTTGTATAATAGATTTGATTTCTCTTTGGAACAAGGTAGTGGGTATTTTTGAACATTTAATTTAAGCAGTAGGGTTGGAAATATTTTTTATTTTTTTCATTTTTATAGGACTATTTTTATTTTCACACCTAGGTACTACTTCCAAAAAATCTAAACAAAAATATGGGTTCATGGAAAATACCAAATAATGTCTTATTTTAATTAAAATGGGTAGTTTTTCGCCCATTTTAATCTTAATTCACTAAATCCTCCCGTGAATGATGAAAATACACATTTTAGTAAGATAACTATAGCACCCGTGGCCACGCCTATCAAACCAAGGTCCACATCGTATTTGACGATATACGTATACAATTTACTATTTTTATTAGGAATAAACCAAAATTTGACTTTAGTTTTCCAAAGAGGAAAATCAAACCATAAAACAAACTTATTTAAGCTAAAATTTTGGCTTATTCCCAATAAAAATAGTATGGCTCTCACTTCCTACCATTTAAACTGCATACCTATGTTAAATTATTTCCGAATCTGTATTTATATAGAGCGACATTGTTAAGAACAGTTGTTAGTAAAATATTTTAAACAATTTTAAGTTTTATTCATGTCAAGTATTTGAAAGGCTGACATGACAGTAGTGTATTAAATAGTTTGGATAAAAACAATCTACAGAGTATACTTATTTCGTAAGGCCAATAAAGAAACCAATAACTTGAGGCACATATACGAATATTTTAATCCTCTACCCAATAATAAACCCTACAACGTTAATACTATGTTTTATTCTGAGATTTTTTCGTTTATCTTCTCGGTGTTGGCCGCCACTTCAGCGAGCGTTGCTAGACCGAGAAGATCGTTACTTAAATTAGAATCTGTTTTGTTACCTAAGTGAGTGATGCTCTGTTTGTTTTTCCTCTTCTTGGACCCAACAAGTTGCGTATCTTTGTTCGTTTTTTGGATTTTTTTGCGATGATCTCCCTGTGAACAAACAATATACTGGTTAATGAATTGTTTATCTAAAAATCTCAGCCACGCCCAACGAAACTGAGTGTAAGACACAAACAAACTTGTATTGCATTGCAACAAACTTTAAACGATGGATTTTTTTTCTATCAACACAATTACTAATTCACTAATTAATTTCAAACTAAATATAAACTAAGTGATGCATACATCAAACAAACAATTTATTATACAATTATGGGAATATTAAAATTCCAAAATATGATGAAAGGCTGACAATTACGACAGCAACAGACGAAACGTCAGAAAACTAATTTGAGATCACGGTGTATAAGCTTCACGAAATTGATGTTATTTACGAAAATTAGAATATCTCGGACCTATTACACGTGGAGAGAAATACACCTTGTTTCAACTGATTATGCAGGGAAAGATCCAAGGAAAGAAAAGCATAGAGAGGCGTAGAATGTCATGGCTGCGCAACCTGAGAGAGTGGTACGGATGTACATCAAATATTGATGTACATGATGAACTTTTCAGAGCAGCCGTCTCAAAAGTACTAATAGCTATGATGATTGCCGACCTCCGCCACGGAGATGGCACTTGAAGAAGAATTATGCCCACTTTAATTAATTTTGATTTGATACCCGCTCTTTATATCCCCAAAAATTTTATCATATCTGCTACTCATAGTGTGTCAATACTTCATTTTTAACCCGAGAACGCTCACACCCCGGTCATTTGGCGGCCAAGGTCGAATTTGTCTCCTTCTTTCCGCATTTGTCCCACAAATGACTTGTTTCTTCCACAAGTATTATTATTTCAGATTAAAGTTTTGATCTATGCGCATCTGACGCATCGAGTGACGACTGGTAGTTAAATAACTCTAATTGGTCACTTTGACACAACGGCGAGCATTATAAGGTACGTAAAAAATTGTTAACGTATTCTGGCAACAATTATTGAATTTGTTAATAAATATTTAACAATTACAAACAATTATTTGTATTTATTTTAATTATAATGAAAACAATATTTCAGATAAATAATGGTTCCGTGCGAAGTAGAAGTAGCATGCTACAAAAACGAGGAATTATCATCAGACGAAGAGTAAGTTGGAGGCGGTTCAGACCCCGAAGATTTTCTGAAAGAAATCGACCACAACACAGAATCTGAGCAGTTTGACTATGATGAAGATGATAATAATAAAGATGCTTATTCTTACGACAAAGTACTGTTCACCTAGCGCCTTGAAAATTATTAGGGTAAGTTTGGAATGGTGTGCTGCAAAAATCCACCAAGAACTAGGTTTCTAAAACAAATTCTGCCCATATCATACGATTTTATGAAGGTCTTGCAAATACTGCAAAGTTCACGACATTTATTAGCTTCGTGGAAGCTATTTTTCCCGATGAGGTTGTAGAGGAACTACATTTGTTTGTAGAGAAATTTTTTAAGACAACTTTACACGAGAAAGGGATGCCAAAAATAACTTATGTCATTGAAATGAAAGCATTCTTAAAACTACCATATTTAGCCGGTGTATAATGAGCTTCTCACCTAAATCTTACTGATTTATGGGCCACTGATGATACTGATATAGAGTATTTTTGGTGCGTAATGTTGTTGTCCAGGTTTTAGTTCGTTATGGGTTACATAAAATTTGATGTTATTGAGGACGGGGAAATTCGGAAACGTTCTGACAAATTAGCATTAATCAGAACTTTATTTGAAGAATCTGTAAAGATATGCTAAAAAAATTATATAATAGGACCTTCAACTACGATCGACGAAATGTTTGAAGCTTTTCGAGGGTTCCGTCAATATATAAAGAGTACACCTGCGGGATATGGAATTAAAATTTTCTCATTCCCAAACTTACTACACTCTGAATATGAAAATTTATGCAGGGAAGCAACCTGAGGGCCCATTTCTGCTATATGATGGTGCTACAAGTGTTGTCAAACGGTTGGTGGAACCAATTATGTGGTCTAGCTACAACATAACCATGGATAATTGGTTTACTTTAAGCATTCTTAGTTTAAAATTTATTGCAAAACAATTTGACATTCGTTGAAACCATCCGAAAAACTAAAGAGAACTGCCACCAGAATTCGTCAGATCCAAAAATAAAGGAGTGAACAGAACTATTTTTAGATTAACAAATAACATAATTTTACTATCATACGTAATAAAAGAGGTAAAGCTTTTACATTGATTTTGTCGATGGTCAAGTTCAAGAGGATGACACAAAAAAAATCGTTAATAATATTGCTTACTATAGTAAAAAACGAAACAGAAATATGGAGAATGATCAGAGGACAAAGAAAAGAGGTGACGAACTAATAAAATCGAAACACATTCAGAGAGAAACATAGGTAGACTACTTTCCATCCCTATTTGCTAAAGGTGACAATAATGAACCACCAACACCAGAAGTGACGATAAAGAAGATATAAATATTGAGAAGGTAGGGGTAAAGAAACCATTAAGGAAATTATAATAGAACAAAACAGAATTCCTCAAGAATGGAGATCAGGCATCCTAAAACCTCTTCAAAAACGGAGACAAATCGGACCCGGAAAATTACAGAGGAATTAATTTATTAAACACAACACTAAAATTAACAACCACCGTGATAACAAATAAACTGAATGAAATTGTAACACTAGCAGAAGAACAACAAGGTTTTAGGTCGGGAAGATCATGTACCGAAGCTAAATTTATAATGAGGCAAGGTGCAAGGGAAATCATTAGAATACAACAAACCGGCATATATATATATATATTATATATATATATATATATATATATATATATTATATATATATTATATATATATATATATATATATTGGATTTGACGTTTCCGCGGGAGCTATATGTGATTTCAGTTGTTTTTCCGGGTTTGACTCTGCGTTAAGTAATTTTGGTTTTTAGAAAAACCATTGTTTTGACGACGTTTCGGCAAGGTCACACTTGCCATTGTCAAGTCAGATTAGTTCTGCTTCGTCTTGATGTTTCAAGAGAACTCTTGTTCTCTTGAAACATCAAGAGAACAAGAGTTATCAGCACAACTCTTGTTCTTTTGAAACATCAAGACGAAGCAGAACTAATCCAAGTGTGACCTTGCCAAAAGTCGTCAAAACAATGGTTTTTTCTAAAAACCAAAATTACTTAACGCGGAGTCAAACCCGGAAAACAACTGAAATCATATATGTATATATATATATATATATATATATATAATATATATATATATATATAATGTTTCGTTTACCTTAAGAAGGCATTTTACTGGGCAAAGGACCTTATCCACTTACTGTAGGTAAGAGAGATACCTCCAAGAATATTGAAAACGATCGAAAATATCTACCAAAACTACACACTAAAAGTAAAAGAACTAACCGACCCTATTGACATTGACAATAAGATAAGATAGGGAGATTCTCTGAGTCCTCTATTGTCCAACCTAATTATGGAAGAAATTTATAAAAAATGTAAGAACTAAAAGAGGATAGCAAATGAAAGACAAACAACTTAAAATAATCTGCCATACAGACGACGCAGTACTACTCTCTCAAATTGAAGACGATTTACGCTAGAATATTTAACACGTTGAATTTCCCCAAAAAAGACAAATCCATGGTTACAACAACAAATTTACTAAGATGTAAATTAGAGCTGGAAGGTCAGATAATATAACAAGTGTTGGAGTTTAAATATCCAGGCATCACATTATGCTCACTTACTACGGAGAGCTCGAAACTTCAAGTGAATAGAGCAAACAGAGCCTCAGGAGCTTCCGGAAACAATATGGAGAAATAAAAATATAGAGAAAGAAATGAAAGACAGAATTTACAAAACGGTCATCAGACCTATAATGACATATACAGGTGTGTGACATTATAGGTCTGATGTCATTATCATCAGACCTATAATGACATATAGAGTTGTTCTTATTAGTTCTTTTAGATGAACTAGTTTAAAAGAACTATTTCACAAAAATGAACTAGTTCAGTGAACTAGTTCGCGGAAGAACTATTTGTAGGACCGAAATCGAAATCCAATCCTAACATAGCTGGTTGCCAGATGACTCGTCTCAATCATCACACAATCTCGGTGCCGGCCGCCCGTGTTCTTCGGTTTCATTCGGTTTTCAGTCAGTCTTTCACTACCGTACGGCGTACAAGTAGTTCGGATTCGGAACCATTTCTTTCGATCGTATGTTTAGGTTTAAATGTTTTAAATTATTATATAATTAGTTAGTTTTTCTTTATAATAATTTATTTTTTTAATCAATCCCAAAAGATGATTAACAGACGAAATAGAAGTTTTTTATGGAATCATTTCGAGAAAAACGATAAAAATCAAAAATCTGCACAATGTAATTACTGTTCATGTGATATTAGTATTGCAAGTGGTTCAGTGGGCAAGACATTTAAAAATGAAACATCTTGCTATCAATCTCAAATATCTCAATGTTGAAAGATACATAGAAAAAGGACCCGAAAAATCAAAAATACATTTCAAGAACCTCAACCTTCAACGTCAAAATCAGTTTGGCTAGTAAGCAGAAGAAGATGATGAGAAAGCAGTTATAATTCTTAAGAAAAAGCCTGCTCATACTCCCCTTGTTTCTATCAGGGACTATGTAATTGTACTTGACTGTAATTTATTTATGTGTTCTTACTTCAATGTCCAGCTTTCAAGTCCATATTGCAGTATCGAAAACACGTAGCATCTCAGTGCTCTTACTCTCAGGTCTAATCTTTCTGATCAGTCTTTGTTGCAGAGAATTGTTTTTATTTTTACAAACGCATTTCTTGCTATTTCTATCCTGGCTCTTATTACGGTTCTTTGATCATTATTGTCTGAAATCCAGGTTCCTAGGTATTTGTATTTATCAACCGATCCCATTAACAAAATAATAAATATATGATCTCATTCATTCATTAGTTTCTTCTTTAAAAGTTAAGACATAATTTATAATGCAAATCGTTCGTAGTGAACTAG